AAGTTGAGTTTGAAGAAGTTGAAAACTTTTGCAATAAAAGCTAAAGCACAACATTTGACGCTAATGAAACATTTTACATTTCTAACTTTTTTCCGAGTTCAAAAAAAGGAACAATATAATTTATTGTTTTTCACAATTATTACATAAATAGTTTATCCTCGATTAATTTAGTGGGACATTATGTTTTGAAAGGATCCAGTTCTCTCAAAGACAAAACAATATAACTTCAACAGCATTATAGTTTGGAAGGTAAAATCCTGATCGTAAATGCTTACGATTGTTTATCAAATAAATTAAGTGAAATGTATTATAACTAAATAATTACAACAGTCTACGTATTTTAAAATGTATTTTAATTACATCATCAGACCCAATAGGCGAATGACAAGAATCTCAATATGGCGACCCTCTTATACTATTGGCTAATGAAAGTACTGACTGAGAAGTTTCTGAAGAGTTCAACTGGGGTAAAAATTCACTTGTTCATTAATCAGCTTATTTCTATTTTTACATTTTTCCTTGGTGCTACTGAAGATATTATTTAGTAAAATTATCTAAATAAGTTAAAAACTAAAGTAAGGTAATTCAAATCAACAGTGAATTGAGCCATTTTCAACTCTGTTGAACATGTACAATAACCAGAAAGTTGAGGAAGTTTGTGGAGGTAAAACAGTTATCGTCCTACTAGACCAGACACTTCGGGCTTATATTGAGGCTTTGAGAGTTCTGGTTAACTATTTGCATTTAAAATTCCCCTTCATGCAATTTTAAAAATGTATCTTAAAAAAAATATGTACCGGTTCCAGACAATACGGTTCTTAAAGTTTGTTGATAAACATATATTTTTATTTTAACAAGAAACCATAAAATTGTCAGATTTTTTAATATATGAAAAAATATCCACGTTATCTATTTTAGTGTAACGGTGAAAGAACATTGCAGGGAATTTATAATGAAATCCAAAAACTTTTCTTAAGTAAATTCATCATGAGGCAAATGTTGCATATTTTATAAAAAAAATAATGTCGTTAAAATTCATGTAAATTTTATTCCCCTAAAACATAATAAATATTCGTTTAAAATTCATTGCATTTTTTACTGTTCATAATGAAATTATTTTTTCAGTGTTAATGAATTTGGCATTTTTCATAAACTATTTACAAACTCAACTTTAAAACGGTTTTTTTTTTTTTTTTTTTTTTTTTTGTAAAAACACTAAGCCCTATGGATTAGACAAGAATCTTCACAGCAATTGCATTGGAGCAAACGATTAGTTTTAAATTGTAATTACAGTTTTAATCACTGTAATTTTCAACACCAATGAAGCTTATGATTAAAACAGAAACACTTTATTACAACTGTTAATCTTCTAAGATTAAATTTTATCACTATTCTGGAAAGTCCGGAAAAAAACATATATTCGGCTACTATAATGATTATGAAATTGTGCCTTTGATTCCTGAATATTTTTAAGCAATAGAATGCTTAAAATAGTTTAAATACTAATTGTAACTTATCTCATATATTAAAATTTAGACCAACAGTAATTTTAGTTTCAATACAATTACATGTTTTAGAAACTTTTTACATCACACATAAATGCGATTCACAAAAATCCTCACAATTGCATGTTTAAAATAATAAATAAAATGCATATCATATACATACTATTCCATAACAAACTAAGTAGGCCCTAATGCCATGTGAATTTTTAAATACAATATTTTAATAATTTGAGTGAAAAATATCCTTTATGCGTTTGTTGTAAAAGAAGGGCATTTCGTCACTCAACCAGAGAATTTGATAATAATCAAGTCGGATGTATCACAGCCAACTCGATTTAAAGTTTGTTATTTCACCCAAGGGTGAAGTCACTCTGTTCGTACCCTGCTACTGTCAGAGCGTTGTTGCTAAAACACAATTGGACCCTATCCCCTTTATGAGACTGAAATAATATATTTAAATAAAAAAGATGATTGATGTGAATATAAAAAAAATGTTTAACATGTTTTACGATATCTGTATATAGTCATAGGGAGTTAAAACGTTTTTGAGTGCCTGGGGGAGTAAAAGTAAGCTGTTAAACTTAGTTGTAAACTCCGATAGAAATCAATTACCTGTTTCTCAAATATTATGGTATATTTTAATCTAGCACATCCGTGATACCCGTAATGTTTTAACCACTAAATAACAGCTGTTCATTTAAATTCCCAAATTTTGGACAAGCTGAATGTTGTTTTAGCGGTAATCATTACATGTGATGTATTTTCGCCTTCTAACTTAGTTTGTTAAATGAATTAGCATTATAACAAATAATATAGTTAATCACTAAGGGAAAATTGTCTTTTTAACCATCACTCATTTTCCAAACTTGGCTTCGCCTCGATCGTGAAACTTGAGCTTGGGTCGAAAGGATTCATTTTACGCTCTAGTGATTAAATATACTATTTCACAACATTCAGTTCACAAATTTAGGTGGTTTGAGTAGAAGGTCAATAAACGCTAGCTTTCTTTGCTAATTGCACGATGCATATAATTGACGTTTTGGCAAACCTTATCTGTTAAGTTTCTCTTTCATAGGTAGAGGTGAAGGAAATGGATTTCTTCCCCTAAAACCACCTTAATTTTTGTAAACTATAAATTATTATTATGGGGTATAATTATGATAGAAAATGTCCACAATCACCCTACAAATCTATATAAATAAAATTACAGATTTGTCTGTACATTGCTTAGAATCATGCGGTTTTTGGTTATTTTTACGTTTCATAGCCTAAGAAAGCCGAAACGAGTCTTATCTCAATTTCTGTCTGTATGTCTGTCTGTCCATTCTGTGACTCCGTCTGTAACGCCAAATTGTCGTTTTACGCGGCCTACTCCTAGAAAACTAGAGTACCGATCAAGGCTTTAATCATTTTTCTGTATTTACTGGATTGGTGAGAGTGTCTTTGGCTATAAAAACATGGCCTCGCTTCTTCGAAAACAAAATAACAAACCACCAAAAACCCAATTTTGTTCGATTTTTGTCAAATTTTCTCCCAATGTTTACTATTACATTACATTTTATGAAATAACGATCAGCTGTTTGGATTCTCACTTCTAGCTGTCACCGATATGATTACATTAAAAGTTGTTAACAAATACTGCAACCATTTCCGAACAAGTTTAGTCAGCACATCCAAACCAAGTGAGATTAAAAACGTTGTGCCTTACTTAACCGGTTTAATTAATCGCAAGTGCAACGATTGTTCTTGAGTTTTGATAACCGGGGAAAATACCGTGAATCAGTGTTGTATTAGTGCAAGGAAACTTACATTTTTTTAATCTTCGTCACCAACACCGTAGCTTACAAAGGTTTCCACTCATTGACGGCGCTTCAAGGACAGTTGTGTAAAGTGCAAAGTAAAAAATCACAACTGCAGTCAGTGGGTGATCGTGGATGTTGCTGCGATCTTGGAAGATCTTTCTGATTTCGCTGTGATCGTACCGTAACAGAAAGTTTAACTTTACAGATGTAGCTAAACTCGCTTTTCCAATGTGTCACTTTTGGTTTATACTTACTTACATTTCGACAACGATATCGGTACTTTTCCTACTTAGGAAATAAAACTGCAAACGTACAAAACCCCAGATTTGTGCGTTTTTTGCCACATTTCCTCCGAATGTTTGCTAGATATATGTACCGATTATCGTTTAGAGATTACGTAATCTTAAGAAACCTTTGTTTGAATAAAGGTGGTTTCTTCAAACTGTCATTAATATGTTAACATTAAAAGCTGGTTACAAATAATGCTATTAATAGGAAAAAACTTTGATTTTCGAAAACTAAAAAAAAAAATTAAAACCAAAGGAGATTAATAACTTCGGTACCGGTACTGCACCACATCAAGTGAAAGTTTTTGTTTTTTAGCAAACCATAGTGAGTCTTCAAAGCGTTACGTTGTTTACGTTACATGTTACATGTTTTGTGGTATGTGTGTATTTATTTATTTATATAATTGCCAACTGATTAACACCTATAATACAGTTTGATTAGAAGGACAGTTGGAATTAGTCGTAAGTACCACAGTTCTTTTCTCAAATGTAAACGTTGGTTTTTGGTACCGGTACTGCTACTTTTCCTTAGAACCGGTGGAAGCAATACCGGTAAGAATAATTTTTACATATAAACACATCACTATTTTCACTATTTATTTATAAACACTGCACCTTATTGCTTATTAAATTTAATTGATGTCTTACTGTATAATTTTTAGCGTTTTCTGTCTGAACTCCAAAATGTTGTGTGGACTAAATTCTGCATTTGTTTGTGTATATCTATTGGTAATGCATTAATGTCCTTTATTTTTCGTGGAAAAGACAAGAGCACTATTGTTAATAAAAATTTCAACCCAAATAAAGTGTGCAGTAGTGAGGTTGAGGTAGTGTTTTAACTACTTTTAGCCAGTGTGAAAAGTAACTTTCAATTACATGCCTACCTTAGGGCTATGCCTCATAGATATATACTGTAAAGCAATTCCTTTCATCGTTTAATATAAAATATGGACTAACACGATCGGGTGACATTTAATTGCGAAGCATTCGTTTTGGCTTTGAAACTGTCAGATATTGTATTTGAGAAGGTTTATATGTATTCCTAAACAGTTATAGTTTTGCCATCATATCTGGAAAAATGCACACTAAATATGCAAACCAACTCCTGTTCTGAATATAAGGTTTAAACTTACTACAAGATTCCCGTACGTAGAACGGGCAAACAGCTAGTACTGAATAAAACAATTACATAAATTGACCTTAAAAAAGGACCGAACTTTAATTACAATATCTATCGTATTTATTTATGTGTACTGTACCTATTAAAAAAACCTTACTTTGTTAAAGCTTATGTTTGATTAAAGGTTATGATCAGCTTCAATGATTGACAACAATGAGCAATTTGACTTGCTGTTAATCCTTATAATGGGAAACGAAATTAGTTACATTGTTGAGCTAACGTAGATTTGATTAGCTTTTTCATTAGTCAACTGATAAACTCATCACGACTATAAATTGGTCGCAATCAAAAAGTCCAGTTATCTTGTACTTGTGTGAAAACTAAGGTAAGGTTTTTCTTGGTCTTATTGTAATCAGATTGTTAGGCATACAATGCAAAGGCTTTTTGATGCAATTTACCATACTTTTATATTGTAGTTTGATAATTATTGTTAATATGTTAAAACATTTACCCTCTAATGAAGCTATTTAAACTAAATGCTCTGAGCAAATTTAGTCTTCAATTGAAAATTTTTAAATCAATAAAGTGTATGATTTCAAGCAAACAAATTTTGTAATTTTCTCTTATTTGCAAATAGTTCAAGTTTCCAAGCCACAATTTAAATACATCAGTACATTATGACTCAACTAGTCTGTAGTACGTGTTGGCCTATGGTTTAAATCAGGCTAGAATAAATAATTAAATATTGTCAAATAATTAATAATGTTTCATTAGTAACATTTGTTTCAATGGAATTGTTTATTTTTTTACTTGCATAGTTTATTTTTCTTTATAAGAGTTTTTAATATATCAACCTTTTGCATCCAAACATCAAACGATGCAACAGGTCATACACTAATAATGAGAAAAGTTTACTTTTGATGTATTATCAAATTAAAGGTAATGATTGAATCGTGCAGCTAAAATAATAATAATTTTGTTTCAACGGTTTTTTCCCTTAGTGATTAATATTCAATACTATTTATTATAATAAAAGGAGATTTTTTTCTATTATTGAAGAACAATATGCGAGATATAAAACGTGTTTTGGTGAATTTCCTAAGTATAGGAAAAGTTTAAGCCATAGGTCTCGTGGTAAGAGCAGGACCCGGGACCGAGTTACTTTTTCGTTTTGTGGTCCTCAGAGGTCAAAAACATCTGGCATTTAAGTGAATATATATGTGAGCCTGTTATCACTCGAGCAAGAACAATCAAATTTTTATGAAATTTTGTATTAATGTGTAAATCTATTCACGTGTGAACGCATTCACGAACCAGCATAATCGGACTAAGTTAACAAGGGTTTATGTGTGTCTTATAAGTTAAAGATTTGTTTTATCATTTTTTAACCGAACAAAATTGCAATCAACTTCTAAATCGTGTGTAAAAACTAATAATTGATTTTATTGAAGCGTTTTTATCCAGATAGTGGTTAAGAATAAAAAAATACTGTAAATTAAAAAAAAAAATACTTTATCTTATGGACGGAACTAAATAAATGTTAGTTCGCCTGTAATATGATACGTTTTTGGTCATATTTAAAAAAGGTATTTATTTTCAAATAAATTATCAACATATCGCAAAAACATTTCATAACCTTCCCTGTAGCAAACCTATGTCCTCGCTACACAAATATTATTTCAATAGGGAATAAATATTACTTTTGTTTAGGGACGTATAACTATGGTTAAGAAGTAAATTCCCAAAAAAAGGAATTTTTCAAAATTATTTTCTTATTCTTATAAACATTACGAGTAAATAAAATGTTATTTTACTTATTTGATTGACTTATTTGATTTGACTTATTTGACACAAAAGGTGCTATAGCTCACAGTAGGTCAACTTGACTTGGTTAACAAGTTTTCATATTTACTTCAACAGAGGTTAGTAATTCACATCAGTACACATCAGTGACTTGCCTAAAATACGTTCATATTTATTTAAAACCGGCCCTAACTGCTAGTGACATTTTTTTATTATTCCAATGTTGCTTTGTTGTCAAGATGAAGCTGTTATTGTTGTTCACTCTTGTTGCTTTGGGCTGCGCAGGACACATCACCTACTCTCAGGAGGAGGAGGAACAATGGGAACGCTTTAAGGTAAGGCTTCTTAATATAACTTGATCAGAGAAAATTTATAATTTTTTTTTTTTGCGTCAGAGATAGTTATTATGTAAAAAAGATTAAGTGGAGATGTTGATGAAATAATTAAAGTTAGTCCATACCTCTTTGGATACTAAATAAAGCTTCTTCGGGTAGGCTTCCGTAATCCGTATCCGTTGGCACAAACAACCGAATGAAAATACCGATCGATATGTCGAATAAAACAATCGAATAGTCGATATTTTCATTCGGTTATTGTGACAACAGATACGGAAATCTACACCTTCTTTCTATAAGTAGTTTCAAACGGATTTATTCTGTTTTAAAAAACTAATTATGTAACGTAAACTTTATATCCAATTTCAGATTAAGTATAACAGAGTATACGCTAATGAGGTGGAAGAGGAATATAGGAAGGCAATCTTCATTGCCAACCTTCACGATATCCGTGAACACAACCAAGCCTACGAACGAGGAGAAACTACCTTCACAGAAGGAATCAACGATTTCGCTGACTGGGTGAGATGTAAAAATATCTACCTGGTATATTGATCCTATATTTATGACATTAGGACTATGTTATGTGACCGTATGGGGATGGTTTGCTATTACGGGCCCTTAGTAATATCATAGAGTAATATCCTTAGTAATATCCTAAAGAGTGGAAATCCCTCAGAATTGATCAACTACAGGCCAATCAGTATACTGCCGTCAATCGGAAAGGTGTTTGAGATGCTGGTTTTGTAAAGATTAAAGCCATTTCTAAGGCCACTTATTAGCCACAGTCAGCCAGGGTTCACTACTTCAAAGTTGACAGTTACCAATCTCCTACTAAAATAAAATAAATAAAATAGAAATAGGCTAAACGTTAGATATTTATTGCGGCCGTTTACGCTCACAGTACAGGTAATGAAGAAATTAATGCATAAAAAATATGTCAGACACATAATTCTTTATAATTTTTGTTTTTAAAACTTAAAATAGGAACTGTATTGAATAATTTAGTCAGATATTTTATATTGAGCACATGGTTGAACGTAAAATATTATCAGGCATTATTTGAATAACGCAATCTCATAGAAACAACTTTTTCAAATTCTAAAGGACCCAAAAGAGATATTACCACACAAGCTCCATCTCGAAATCTTCAATAAAACAATATTTTTTCCATAAACGTACTAGGTATGGGGAATGGATAGTGTAAAGGAGAAAGTTGAACTTTAACAAAAAAACATCTGCAAGATTCCCATTCGAAGATTTTGCGTAACAATTTATTTTATTTGGGCCGTATCGATTGAATGTTGATTCACTATTCAGTCAATGGAATTTTATAAATGACTTAATTGTTTTTAGACCGGCGAGGAGTTGAAGAGGGTGCTTTGAGTGATACTGCCACACGAGAAGCGGAGCTAAGTAAAGAAGACTACTGGGGGTGGAGGACGCCTATGGAAAAGTAACGTCTGTACACTTGTTATGGCAAAAGAGAACGGCCAAAAACCTGGATTTGTTACTGTTTATATCTCCTTTTAGCGAATTTCCCTATAGGGAAGTAGCTATTACCGTAGGTGGCACGGTAAGACCTAGACCCGGGACCGATTTACTTTTTCATTTTGATGTCCCCAGAGGCCAAAAACAATATTCGTTCAAATTTTTATATATGTATATATATATATATATAGACTTTTATATATATATATATATATATATATATATATGTCCGTGAACGTGATAACTTGAGTAATTTTTTTCCGATTTTGATGAAATTTGGTTTAAAGGTGTAAAGCGGGATAAACTTGAATGAGTTCACGAACCAGCACGATCGGAACATGGGAACGGGGCTTTACGGGGGGTTTTATGGGGTAAAATTTGGTTTTTCTCACTTTTGACCCTAAAAACACAAAATTTCCCAATTTCTCTTTAGACCTTTTTAAAGAGCCTAAAAAAACAAATCATTTAGTATATAAAAGTATTTTTGTTCGAATATTAGTAACGGAGAAAATTTAAAAAAATGTAAATTTAAAATTCCCATGTTATTCTTATGGAGAATATTGACAAATGTTGTAGTTTGCTTGTTTATGAATATATTTTGATCAAACTTGGCAAATTTATTTATTTTGTACTAAGCTATCAATATTTTACTCAAAAACACACTTTATTAGTTTCCTTGTAGCAGCAAACCTAGGTACTCGTTAAATCTAATGTTATTAAAATATATTTAACTGAAAATAAATTCAGACAAATGGAAATTCGCTTAGTCGGCAGGTTTGCTGCGGCGGGGGTATTTGTTATTTACCATCATTTATTGCCATAATCATTTATTGTCATTTGAAAACCATAAAATTCGGTGTAGAGTGTAGGACAATGTGATCATGTTTGGTGTTGAAGGTAAAAGTTATGCAGAGAAACAGTGTCTTTATATAAATTATATATACCTGTTATAGTTACAGTATGTTAAAAGGTAATGGTTTGAACACTGGTCATTTAACTGAGTACTGTAGACCTTTTGACATCCTTTATCCGTGGCCAAATGAAAAATAGTTCCTGGTCCAGAAACGATCTTGATTTTAATCAGATCTTCAGATTTCGTATAAATGTTGATCTCGATATCGTTAGTGCTTGTCAGTCTTGACCATTGGATATCGTCTCAGACTTCAATGCAATATAATTGCCACTGGCTTAAACTGGAACAATATAGTAACAGAATGACAAAAAATTTAAAATACAACGTTAATATATCAATTGGATTTGTTTTATTACTAAGAGGCCTTGTTTTTATATTTGTTACTTTTACTGAATTATGTCTAAAGTGAGAGGTCATTAGGTTATATATCATGTTTAATTAATATTGTGCCTAAAATTACAGAAAATATAATTGCTAGATATGTTTGATTAAAACAGAGTGGTGAATTTAAGAGAAATATTCAGAAAAATTTCAGAGTAAAATATTTGGTATTTAGTATTGGAAACTATGACTATAATATACACAGTAAAGTTCTTTCAATTACCTGTACTGATGTATGAAAAATGTATGTAACTAACTGTCATGTTATTTACTTTAAGTATATAACCATGCATCTTAGAATTTAATTTGTGATAAATTCTAATTTACAATCCTTTACACCCACATATTCCCCCCGTAATCAATGATAGGGCCTACCTCAAACAGGATAACAAGTAGTTACACTTCACATACGATATTCTCACAGCATACAATCAATATATCCTCTCTTATCGTAATCATACTTGTATACTTTTCAATGAAATGGCGACCATACAAACATATAAAGTATCATCATCAAAATAGGTATTTATCATCATATAAAGTAGGTATTTTCAGGAAAGTATGATTGGAGATGAGTGTAGGGTGAGTGGCGTGATCTTGTAGTCTTGTTAGTCATTAATGCCGACATATTCCTTAGACACAGCTGTTAATTAATAGTCCTTACAGCGAATGGCAACTGAGGAACCTACAGTTTTTATAGTGGAATCCGAACCACATTTTTGCATTGGTATCAACGAATTGGTCTACTTATCAAGATAGTACTGCGGATAGTCATAGTACTCACTAGTGCGGACGTTAATCCACACCAGGGAGTATCGTATCAACAGTGCATGCCTATTAATAATCCTCCATTGTAAGTAGATCTCAATAATAGACGACATGTCCTTCATAAGGACATATCCTTCAATCAGGACCAATATTAAAATGCATCTTTGGACTTATCTTGTCTCATCGTCTCCTATCCAAATATATTATAATAATCGAATGATCTTATTTCATGATCCTTGTTCATACTGTATTGTATTTCAGTACTAATGTTTACATCTTTAACCATACATCGTTGGGATTAACAGTGTTCTCATGCAATCCACTAACAGATCGTGTTTAAGTCTACAAGATATAATTTATTCACTACACGATCTAATATCGAGTTTCTAATCCACAGATAATTGGTTTACTGGATTACAGTAGTGTGTGCCAACCTCCTAAGTAATGTAGTTTGCTTTTACGATCTTAAAATGTTATATATTCAACGATTTAACTTAGGTTGAATGTCAATCACTCAATTCACAAACAAAAATTTCTATGCGTGAAACCTTTTCACCTGATGCAACAAATACACAAATCAAAAAAATTATTCAAGATATAACTCTTATACATTTACTTACAGATACACTTGTTGAAGATCATATTTTTTTTATTTCTTATCCGTAATAAAGAATCTGTTAATAGTTTTTCTAACCAAACTATGTCAGCATTGCAATATACAGTAATGCATGCAAGATTTTAATATTTGATCAATTATTATTATATTTAGATTTTTATAAAAAAAAATGGCGATACTGCAAAAACAGCAGATACTCTACTCAGTAATGGTGTCAAATGCAAGTAGATTTTCGATTTATAAATTTAAGTATATTTAACCCTAAACACTTAGGCCAAATGATAGGTTATCCACACATAAATTTTCGTAATCTGTGGAAATTTTATGTACTTATAGTCAATTTATGTTAATGCTCTGCTTTTATAGTTTCGAGCTATTTTTATAGACAATTATGAAAATTTCTAATATTAAGTTTCTTTTGTATAATGCTATCTTGCTATAGGGTACTTTTACTAGCTGTAATATAGCATATTTACAAATAAATTATCTAACAAAATTGAAAAGTCATATAAATAAATTAAATAAACAACAAAGTTTCAATGAGATTTTATCGTGTCAATAATAACATTAAATATCCTAATGCTAAAATAATATTAAAGATCCATGTTGTATCCGTACTATGTTTGAGAAAACTTCGAACCGAAAACAGATTCTTACGAAGTTCAGTATAACATTTTAAAAATACAAATGTAGGTAGAAGAATAAAACTCATGACCGTTAACGAGTATAATAAACACAAACTATTATAAACAACAACAACTGTATTTGAAATTAATTTAGTCAGATGTAATATGCATGGTGTACATTGGACGCTCAAATACCAGTGCAGCCTCTGAAGAACTCTGCTTTAATCATGCATAAACAAACGGCTACACAGTGTATGTGCTAATTGGCTTAGTACCATCCGAATACGTGGGGTTTGAGCTTTCTAACCTTACAAAGAAACCCTTTAATTGTTCGCATTCTCGCAAATTTAATATTAGGACGAGTTAATATATTTGTAGTTGACGGAATAGTTTTTGAAATGAAATAAAAGAAGGTTATTGCGTTGAAGATCAATGAATGACACACACTCAACTGACTAATTATTTTCTTTAATTAATCTACATAAGATGTTTGATGTACCATTCCAAAGTTGTATTAACAAATACATTAATTGGATAGTTTTTTTGTTTAATAACACACTCAAGTAATTTAACAATTTCTTTCAGATGAATCACGAATGAGTAAGTCTGCTTGTTTTGCAATTTAACTCTAAAATACCTTTTTGACCAGTATTAAGGGTAACATAGATAGATGTATTTACTTAGAACATTCCAGTACTCATAAAAGTTCATTCTGTTTGCGCACAGAAAGTATGTTGAAGTAGGAAGGGCGAGTAAATGTGAACTGTAATGTGATAGCTAAATGATACATCGTTCTGCTGACTAATGACCTTTATCCTGGTAATTATACTTCTTTTAGCCTCCGTCCCTATGTACAGGGTGTACCCGAACTCTAAAAAAACTAGTATAATTTCTAATATTGTCGATGAGTAAGGCTGCTATTTATTAGTAAATCTAATCAATTCTGCAATATCTAACACATAATTCTTTAGTTCATCTATAATTTATTTACACACTAATTTTCCGTAAGACATCTTTTTCAATATTAAAAGAGGTATGATGCGCATACTTGTACAAGAAACAAATGGACTTTTTCACTTATAAATTAATGCAGGCACTGGCAAGGAAACGAGAATTTAATGAGTCTTCTTGTGAAGATTAGATTATCTAGACTAACGCGAACCTATTACAGTCTGTTATCTCAAGTGTAATATTACTTAACAGAATGAAATAACATTGATCTAATACTTATAAAACATAATAGATGTTTTAATTTCACTTAGCACACCCTTGGAGTAAAAAAGGTCCATAAACGAAAATTCAAATAGTTACCTTCTCAATTATGAACTTTAAAAAACAATAGTGACCAAGCGAAAATAGTATTCATAAGTTTTTAATCCATTATATTATTAATAATCTTTATTTTTAAAATGAAAATTGTTTATTTTATTTTTATAACATTGATTATTTAAGTATAATCTTCCTTATACATTTAAATGTATTTCCGTAGTGCATAGGGGTTCATCGTGGCCCATTAATAAATATAATTTAATATAAAAATATCTTTTAAAAGTGAAGTTTTATATTTAATAGGAAGATCATTATTGTTATGTTATCCTGGGTAGTCTATATTTAAAAAACTCAAATACTAAAAAAGTTAATTTAAAATATAATACCTCTCATGCTTACAGGAACGTCTCAAAATAGCATTTCTTTTACAAATATTTCGTAATTCAATTTAGTTT